CAAGGCACAACCGATAAGGATTTAGTAACTATGTGTGCACAGTGAGTATACATCGCAATGTTTCTAAGGCAATTTTATTTTTTATGCACCTAAAATCGTAAAAAAAACACAGAGAAGAGTTATTTGAAATGTCGTTTGCTCATTAAATTTTACTATCTGGATTTCGAGTCTACTCTGGTCAGTAGTTATAACCGTGGCGAAGTCCCCAAAAAAAAAAAATCAAAAATTGTTATTTTACATGCATATTGTATGTTGGTAAATATATGTATATAAGTATGGCCTTTTTGTAGAGAACGTCATGAAGATCGCAATGATTATCAAAAAAAATATATAGCTCATTTTTTGGTCCTGGTATATAACAAAAGTTATCATATATGTATTCGACCTTAACAAAGCTTCATGCCAGTTTAAGGGAGGATTTTGGACAGCGACCGAACATAGCTATTATTTTAATTTTTTTTAGTACTAAGATTTTTATTTGGAAGATTTGTTTTTTTTTTTTTAATTAGATCATGGCAAATCGATATTTTTTGGTTTTTAGTTTCTTGACCGATTATGATTGTTATTTTTTCGGGTAAATTTTATCGCTATTTTGTAATTTTAATTTCTTCGATCAAAACTAATCACTGTTTATTTTTCATATTAAATACTATGTTTTTCGACGTCTTTGAACGCTTTTAATCTGGAATTAACGGTTATATGATCGAAAAACTAAAAATCTATTACTCTTGATTGAAAAAGTAAAGTCTAAGAGTTAAATTTGATCGCAAAAATACAAATCCAATTTTTATGATTAAATTATAAATTTTATTACAAAGATCGATGAGCACCGCCCTAATATTTAAGTGTATATACATATATACAGTGACTCAAACAAGCCTTCTAATGGTGATTTTTTTTAATATTAATAATGTTTTTTTTATAAAATTTTTTTGTCAATATAACCTTTATAAATAATGTGATAAAATTTCTAAAAATTTACACACCCAGAAATTTTCCTCAAATTCAGATTGAAAAGTTCGATGTTTGGATGTAAATTCGCAGATGTTTCCTAAATTTTGTATTGAGTTTGAAATTTTTATTTAATAAGTAATATTTCTATAAAAACTTTGCAAGAAAAATTTTCACTAGAAAAACATTGTGAATATTTAAAAATAAAATCGCTATGTGAACGCTTGTTTAAGTCATTGTATATGTATGCATGTGTTTGTTACTCCACTGCCTGTATATTGAATTTCTATGACGTAAGCATCAACCTGAAATACAGAGCTATCTTTCCCTCTTCCGGTAAAGTGGATATTTCTGGGTTGTAAACCATAATTCCCTGTTATTTTTAATATTTTATTGAACTTTGTACCACGATTGTTTATAAGGAAGAATTGAAAAAGCAACAAAGTCTAAGCGGTAGAAGTTATAGCAGCTATTTTGGAGATTACCACATCTCCTCATCAGACTTCTTTTTTCTAGACTTCACTGCTCCGACGCCTTTATCGGATTTGTAGCCGCCGATGTGCAAGAAGTGACTGTTCATCTGAAGTTGAGGACATTCCTCTTTAAAATCTTGAATTTGTGTTAAAATTTTAATTTCGAAAAGCATCAATACGCAAAACTTACACGTAATTCTGGTAACTGATATAACAAAATGCATTTTCTATTAAAATGGCTTCCGTTGTTAAGAGCAGCGCCCTGTGATACAAACACAGAACAACCACTAGAAACTCTACAGCGAATTCACGACAAAGGTAGCAATTTTAAAGCTGTTAACAATGCCAGTTGTGTTCAGAGCGCTGCATCGGAGATTCGAAATGTTTTGTTCGAATCTACCTCCGATTGGATTTGTGATTTCATTCGTATATCCCAGAACATCAAAGAATTTTTCGCTAAGTAGGCAATGTGGAACATCCATATGGCTGATCTATAACAGAAGAGAGTTAACTCCGCCTTGTGGGCATCACATTGTGGCTAATAGCCTTACTTAGCTCCGTCCTGGCGTTGAAGTCATGGTCCTAGTTTGAAGGCCACCTGCGATCCATCGACGTGGCATTTTCCTTTTTTCCGGACGTACTACATAGTAAGTATGGATGAGAGACAGAGTATGAAAGAGTCATAGGGTCTCTCTTAAAGAACCCGACCTCATTAGGGTGCATACGTCTTTGAGAGGATTCGGAGGATTTTAACAACAGATTCATTATCCGCAAGTCCTGTGCAAATGTTAATGCTTGAGTCCCTTCAAGTACCTCTGCTCTCCTTGTTGTACCCTGTGAAGCATGTTTATATTCGACCCCTTCACAATGGCTTATAACGTGTCTGGGAGGAAGTTCGGCTTTAAGCACTACGTACGGTAACTGCTAGGCTATAATAAAAAAAAAACCTTAACAGCTTCCAGCAATTTCACTAAAGTCTAACTAGAAAGTAATCAAAATAAAGGTTCAGTAATTGCCTATTACCTGTAAGCGGAGTGTACATTTTTACCTCCTTTACGCATGACGCCTAATTGAGCTGACAATCGACTCTTTCCAGTAATCTGGAAGATTATATCTGCGGTTGATAGAGATATGCCTGCAAAAGGCTCCTACACCGACCCTTCCGTCAAGCTTCGGCCCATCCATGCAGAAGTTCACCGGTGCTTACTTGCAACTGCTGCCTCCGTGCACTCATCCGTAGGGGAGATTTGAGAGAGAGCTCATTGATACCAGCCTAGCCAAGCAGTGATCCGTATTATCAGGGATAAAATGAAAGCACTATGTATACTATGTAGAGCGTACAACTCGTGACCCACTTAAAACCCTAGTATTCCGCAGCAGCCTTACCCTTGGTGTCGACTGACGCTATATTACACATTAGGGAGTGATTCTAAGTGGCCCGCTGATTTTAATAAATGCGGCCCGCTGTACCCGCACCAGCTTTCTATCGAAGACATATAAAAGTTGGAGGGTCACTTAATGCCGAGAAGTCTTCTTGTATGAACCTTTCTCTGTCGACTTCACCATCGTTGTCTCAAACTATGCACATTTGCTGTATGCATATTGAGCCCCTTACAGGCGATCAGGAGGACTAATAAGCAGATAAATCCACCTAAACACTAACTAAAACATATTACAAGCTGTTGTGTATTTCCTATGAGGGAAATGTAGTTGAACCTTTGCTTTCTCAGCTTGTCCTTTTTGGTAAACTCTGGAATGAGAAAAACATTTATATAATTAGAAATATTTGACCTTAATACAAAAAAAAATAAAGCATTGTACAGAGAACTATTCGTAGTAATTATTTTGCTCGTTCTTTGAAGTGCATAAAGAATAGAACAATTCATTGAAATAAAAGTTTTTTGTTTGCAAATTTAAAAAAAAATTCTTTTTCTTCTCCTTTTCAGATATGGAACAATTATATCCACCAAGGCTATTTTAGATAAAACAACAAACAAATGTAAAGGTATTTTTTTTCTTCACCATTTCTCATCTTTATTATTTAGTACGTGTGTTTTTGTTGTAAGAATCTGAATTTGTTAAGTTCAAGTACAATATACAAATCGAACAAGATGGCATATATTGGCTGAATCTTAAATTTAAATAAAGTTTAAAGAATATTAAATGGTCTAAAAATTAAAATTTTTAACTTGTAGCTCGTTTGTAAAGCAATTTGATTTGCGTTTTTTTTTTTAAAGTTGAATATTTTTGTTTTTCATACAATTTTTTACATACATAATTAAAAAAAATTAACCCTTTATATATAAGTACATAATTTTATATTTAAAAGGCAACGGAAAATTTAAAAAAAAAACTAAAATTTCGCATCTCTGAACTTTATATTTCAGATATACATACATATGTCGTTGGCAATACTGCAAAACGTTCTACATCAATTATTTCCTTCGGCGCTTAAATGATCTTTTCAGTTGTATCTGAACGCTGCTGTTAATCGTTCCTCTTTGTCAACCAAAGGTAGAAAGTTTTTTCTTGGTTTACGGGAGTACAACGATTCCCAGAAGTATTTCAGTACGGTTAACCATCTAAGCGCCAAGGGTAATAATTGTCATAGGTAGAACGTTTTACAGCATAGATGGGCACACCAATACAGTCTCATTTTGTCATGGTATTCGTGAATCGCGCTTAGTAACAGTTGCCACTTTTCTATATTGTACAAAAGTGCGTCTTTTTTGCGCGTGTTAGAAAACGCTCTTACAAATTTATATTTAATTTGTCTTATGAACATGAAACGAAAATAATAAAATATAATAAAAAAATAATGAATAAATAAATACAAATAATGAATTATGAAATTAATTTTTATAAGTACACATGTACGTGCATGAAAAGTTTTTTAATTTAATTTCATTAAACTAATGTTTTAAAAAATCATAGTTTATTCAACAACAAAATTCACAAAGTTGCTCGCGGTCATCACCTTCATATTTTTCATATTCCGGATGGAATGACAAATAATGTCGCCTTATATTAAAAGTACGATTCCAAGTAGTCGTATTACCACATAACAAGCATTGGGCATTATTAGCTTTTTTTAAAACCAAAAACTGTAATTGGCACTCATACTCAGACATTTTGGGCATTGTTACATATATAGGTGGCAACCACGCGCTAAAATTACGAATAAAAATATTCAACGGCGAAGCATAGCGTCACTCTCATGAAATCTGAAAGCAGACTGAATTGAAATTCGCTGCGTCGTTTCTGTATACGTATAAGCGCTGCGACGCAGACGCTACTCGCGAGTAGCGTTTTGCCCATCATTGTTTTACAGTATCACCAACGATATGTATTTTCACATACTCATTTATCGGAATAATAGTAATAATAATGTTTAACTCTTAACCAAACAAATAAGTGCCGATTCTGTATTTTGTATCTTAACTTATTTTTTAGATTTTCAACCAGATCACTCAATTTTATTATTGCATTTTATTAATTTTTAAAAAATATTGCTAATCTCTTTTGTTTTTTTTTTCTTTTACCTCTTCGAAAATTTTGTTTTTGTTTTTCTCTGGTCCATTTGTAAAACTTTGTTTCGATTTAATTTTAATCCTCTCGATGCATTCATCAATGTTAAAAATTCAAAAAAAAAAAATACATTATTTATTTCCATTTCGAAATTAAATTTTATTTTATTCGTTAAAAATAATTTGTTTGAACAAAATAAACGCTAATCTCACGTGGCGAAAACAAAAACAAAATATTCTTTCTTTTCAGGCTACGGCTTTGTCGATTTCGAGTTGCCAGCATACGCCGAGGGCGCCGTCAAGGGACTACAAGCAAAGGGCGTTCAAGCTCAGATGGCCAAAGTGGGTATCTGGGTGCTTCATAGGCCGGCCATTGTACGTTTGTTTGCATGCAAGTAATACTCACCCCCCACCCCCACTTCTATATAGTTGGTCTATATATTTTATCTACATTTTTTTATATATTTAATTTTTTTTTTTTTGGTTTTTGTTGGTTTTGTTCTTGATAATTTTGTGTACAGTCTCATTTCGATGATTTTCTTAAATTTGTTGTGGTTGGTTTTTACCAAGAGAAAAACAGCAATAAGTTTTGTCTTTTTTTGTTTTTTTTTTGGTGTTTTTTTTTTATAATTTCTCGTAAACAGGCTAGGCTTAACATTGTTGCTGCTACTCAAATGCAACGCTTAAAAATTAACTACTTACAACCGCAAGTTTGCTATCTTTGCTGGCACGCTTGAATTAAGCTATAAAATTTATCACATTAAAAACTGCATTGCTACACAGTAAGGATAACGACCTCTAGAGGGTGTGTGTTTGTGTGCTTCGTCTCACCTACTGTTTTTATGAGTTGCTCAGCATAATAATGACTTGACAATTATCAGCGTGTACACTGCTCCAACCAGATATTTGTTAGGACCAATACCCAACTAGTCCTTACTACTGACTACTTACTTTAATTACATACATGCGTATCTACAATTTGTCAAAAATGGAAAGTGACACTTAAGATGGCACAACGCCAAAACCGGGTTTCCGGGTTTCCGTTTTACGGAATTCACTCCCTTGGGACAGTCGGATATTTTTTCCAAATGAAGACTTTAAGACATCAAAGTTATCTCGGTTGGTCCAAAGGACATTTGCTACGGCTGAGGTGTACTCGTCTACTTTCCTCAGTAAATAGATAACAAAACGGTGGTTGTAGTGAGTTGACCGCCTCGCTAGTATGCATTTCCGAATCGTGTCTAGTCATTGCATTGGCTAGTTCGTTCCCTTCGAAATTGCCATGAGCCCCGCAGAATGAGACCGACGATGACGTGATTTGGTGATGCTGGCGAAGCGCAAGATTTGCGAACAATTTTTTACTTTAGACGGTCAACGAATATACTGGTTTTCCTTTATAAGGCCAAATTTTCTATAGAATCCCGCATTTTCCCACCTTTGAGCTATTACTATGTATGGTAAGCCTATCATTTCTCCAGCCAGCGTCTTATCCATCCCTAGTTGGATATCGTATAGGAATCCTTAAGCGGAAGTCCTAAAAAACCGGCATAAAATCTGTCTTGATCCAGCCAGGCAAACAGAACTGAGGAATCTTTCTTCTCCTTTAGAGCAAGACAATTTCCATTTTGGGAACTTCTGGACCTTTTTTCCCCACCCAGAAAAAATACCCAGGGCTGACACCATTAGTCCATAGGAATAATTTTCATAAATACTATGATCTAAAACTCGAAAGTAGAGTACAAAAATACTTTCCAACAATTCTTCGAATGAAAACATTTCGCAAAAAAGTTGATAGTGTATATAGACCGCCACACACTATGCATTGTTGCGTTCAAAACTATTGCCAAACACATTACCTTATCCGGGATCTCTTCTTTTGAAAGAATATTAAAGCCACTTTGTGGTCGAAGGATGACTGACTCTGCACTATAAATGGAAAAGCGAGTAGACACTGCCACATACTATTTAGCGTCAGTGGCAGCGAGCAGTCACTCTTTCGGCAAATGCATCAATAGAAGATGAGCCGATTTCGCAAGCAGTAAAACGGAAGCACTTCCTGTACACGATCCAGTGGACAAGAAAGATGTAGACTAAAACACAACACTGCAGACTTGCAATCACGATATGGGGAGCTTATCACAGCAACTTCCCAATATTTATTTTATCTCTGATCAAGATAGGCGCTATGCTGCTAGTTGGTGTACTGTTTACTTAGCAGGACAATTATTGTTAACATCCATGCCTTTAAGTTAGGTCTAACCCATGGTAAGATGTGCATGAGAGCATGAGATGCGGAAGGAATGAGAAGACTGTGGAGTTCATCTTTTCTGAGCATCCAACTCTTGGTAGGCAGGTGCGCTGTCTACTGGATGTAGATTTTCTACCGTATTTGGAAGCAACAGAGAAAAAAGTGCGATAAGAAACTGGTTTTATTTGCAGCACTGGTAGGTAATCTGGTAACAGCATTCAAGTTCTGGAGTGACAGTGCTTGGCCTGATATATATCTGGGTCGTTCCGGTTACGTCGGCCCGACTGTCGTGGGAACGACGAAAAACTTGTTATGAAGTGCCGTAAGCCACGGTGGATTTTTTACACTAAACGAAATTTTTTGAATGAAATCCGGAACTTCATCGACATGATACAGACCCCAGCGCCTATTCATACTCACATTCATATGGCACTTACCGTTAATTGTTCTAATTATCGCCGTTCAGGCCAAATAAAACTAATGGGAAGTTGTCATGCGCTGCCTCGTTATATAACTAGACTACACAGGAGTTATAGCATCCACATAATTGCCTTTAGATAATACTATGTATGTAATGTGTGGTGCTGCAGTTTGATTCCTTTTGGGTGCATTGAAGTTTACCATCGCTTTCTTTGGAGCAATATCGTGCACATGTACATATGTATGTACATACGTATATTTTTATACCTTTCATTAACATGAAATGGTATGTTTGTAAGTAACAGAAGAAGTTGAGATAGAGCCATCAAAAACTATACCAAAATGATAAGATTGTCGAGCTGAGTAGATTTACAAATATCGGATTAGGTTAGGTTAGGAGGGCGTTTGTGGAATATTGCATACTTTCACTCGTTAACAGAATTGTCCATTGTGAGTGCCGTTATTAAGCGAGTGTCAGGCGGAGAATCGTACCCATAATCGTGAGAGAGTAGCTTCCAAGTCATTATTTTACTGAACAGTTCCACCTCCGCTATCTCGCTCTCGACTGTTAAGGAAGCGTGAGCCCAAGTGCTTGAGGCGCTTCGTCTATAGACCTTGTCATCGGCCCAGAATTGACTCTTCCTAATCCTCATCACGTCAGCTTCTGCAGAGTGTACTTGTTGTTATTCGCCACCACTGAAGCATTGCGGCTATAGCACAGTGTCTTGTGATGACGCCGGTAAGGGCTCTTACTGCAGTTCTATTAAGTTGCAGTATGTCCCTCGCCTTTTTCCTACTAAGTCGCGGCCACGATGTATTCATCAGTTTTCCTAATGTGATCACTAAACAGTGGTAGTACGGAGCTATCCGCTTCTTCAATTGGCATCTCTGAGCCTCATCTGGCCATCTCATCAGTCGACGCGTGGGGCGACATTTCCATACAATTCCCGATTTCACAATTTTAGATACTTTAGTTTTTATTGTAAACATTATCTGTTCTGTCTGAGAGGGGTTAACCGCGAATCCATTCTGGTGGGCCTACTTAGAGATATCACCTAATGGACTATCCATTAGTTCACTTATCGTTGGAAGGAATTTGGCAGTGATAAGTAGTATCACTAAGTCGTCGGCATAGGCGAAACCCTTATTATCCTTGGTTTAAAAATCTCCAGAGTTTCGTTCGACACCAGGAGCCGGAGGAGAAAGAATAGTACACCCCCTTCAGGCGTACCCCTGGTGGTTTTCTTTCTCACAGCATGGAGTAAATCCATGCCACCATAAGGCGCTGTATTCCATGCTCAGAGTGTGCCTTGCTTATCGCCTCCGTTCGGGTATTATTGATCGGGTTATTTTATCCCATAGCTTCCATGCAACTGCTTGTTGTTGTGATTGACCAGATGACGTTGCAATATGAAATAGGAATTAATCGGCTAGGTGGCGCAGCAGTCGAGATATTTGGAAAATCCGTCAGATTTATTTCATATTTTATATGAAAAGAAATAACTTTAACGGTTAGATGGTACGGGGGTCGGCTTTTGATTTTTCTATTAACCACTAATTAAGGCTTGTCTTCAAATTTTTTTATTTACTTCTTACTCATTAATAACATAAAGTCTACTAAGAAAATTGGCAAGGTCTTTGCTCTCTAAGCGGAATCTCCCATACCATTGATTTGTCAGATATGTACATACATATAAGTTTTCGGGATATGTCTCCTTTACGTAGGCAGTTAAAACTTTGGAATTTTTTGACCCATTTACTTATCGATCGTACCTATCGAGCTTACAGTGAAAATCATTAAAAATCTGTATTTGTAGGGTGTATCATCCATGCCATTGATTATTCAAATATAACATTACTCGTCTATCTATGTATGTATTTATGTAGTTAAAGTGAAAATTTTGAAAACCACTTTATTATAACCTCTAGCTTCCAACAAACTAATCACACATGCTGTTGATATTAAATTATCTGATTTTCGTGAAAGGTATGAAGCCTTGGGCATAGCTGAAGACAGTACTGTCCTTACTTGTTACAATTAGGTATGTATGTGCCCAACTACACCGTATGTATGTATGTCCTTACGAGTTCAAAGAACTTCGCTAATTGTTGCCATTCGCTGTGATAGCCATCCCTTGAGCCTTCACGCTCCGTCTCTCTTTAATCTCTCTCTCTCTTTCTATGTCTCTCTCGCTTTCTCTCTGTTTCTCATTCTTCTTGATTTCATAGCATTTTTTATGCCACTACAATGATGGATCATAAAAGGAAAATGACATTATTCGTAGTCGCACTGCATGGCGTCTTTACCGTACACCCACTTACTGATATGTATACATACATACAAATGTACATAGTACATATGTATGTCCGTACATATTCGTGCCTGGAGCTACACACAAATGGCTGGCAAACAGTGATTATTATACGATTTTTACATTGTTATTGGCGGCCGCAAAGGTGTGGTGGTTAGCAGTGCGCGCTTCCACTCCGCAGCGCCTGGGTTCAACCCAACACCAAAAAATAAAAAATAAAAGGTTTTTCACTAACAGCGGTCGCCCCTCGGCAGGCAATGAAAAACAGCTTCTCATAAAAATACAATCGCCGTTCGGAGTCGGCGTAAAACTGTAGGTCGCTCCGCTTTGTGTGACAAAATCAAGGCGCACACGCTACAAATCGGAGGAGAAGCTCGGCCAAACACTAACATACATATGTACAAATGTGTAAGCGCCCATCTATTATTATTATTATTATTATTTTACATTGTTGCCGCGCATCGATGCGCGACAATAACTTAGCCAATTGCCATTGCTTGCTGTTGCTAGTCACAATTACATATACATACATAATTACATTCCAAGGAACTTTTGCAATATAAAATGAGCCTGGCGGCAGCGATGTTCCTTATGTTCCACGAAAAAGTAATTTAATTAGCCGGAATTCTATACACAACAATAATTCGCGGCGCTAACGGCCAGCCATCTAATAATAATAACTGGCGATAGTGCAACGCTTGTACAAGTTACCAGAAAGTCGTTTTAACAACTTTTATTATTTCTATGTAAAGTACACATATTTATTTTACTTTACAACTTATTTGTGCTAATTTTTTATGAGGAAATACAAATTCTTTTCGAAAGTTGACGCGCAAACGCAAGGTAACTTGACTTGAATACTTTCTTGTAAGTAAGTAGTACCTATGTACTTAAAATAGGTATTTAACTTATTTTCCAATTACCGCTTTACAATTTTCTTTACAGATTTCTTGTTCGTTTTTTAGTTTATTCTCTTAGTTTTTGTTTTTTGTAGTTTTCCCCAATGTCCCAAATACCTTTACTATTAGTAAAATACGCGTAGATACCAAAAACATACTTGAAACAAATGTAGTACATTCATTAGCAAAAAAACATTCTTAGTATGAGTATATGTATTATACATGTATGTATGTTTTTTTTTTGTATTATTTGTAAAAACCATTATTATCCTTTTGGATACGACTTTAATTTAGGATGTAATTACCATTTTCTTACTCATTTGGTATGAAAGCTATACATATTTAGATCATCGTATATGTAAATGTATGTAGCTGTAGTTTGAGAGCGCTTCGGAAGGTTTTATGCAGAAGTGGATGTGGAATAAATATTTGAATCGAATGATATTTTTTGAGAGAATTAAGACCCCACAACTCCGTCTTTAGTGCCGCCTTTATATATTCATCTT